AAGATGGAAAGTAATATCATTTTCAAAAATCCGATCTAAAGAAAATTATTTAATTGCAATTTCTACTGGGCGGTGAGATATTATAAGACAATAGCTCGATCAAAAGTGCTGATTTCAGCATTGGATGCTGACTGAACATTCGTTATGCCAAATTAAGCTGAAGCTTTTATCTCAGCACAAATAATAATAATAATACGTAAACGCAGAAAACTACCATGAAAATGTGATACATGACGCTGATGAGAACGTGCCAAAACAAACACCACACTCAACCTTATTTCTACGTAATTAATTAAGAATTAAAAATTTGTTGCATGCAACATTATAATATGATTAAAAGCCATATTTGTGGTAGATTCCAAACCATTATGGAAAATGTGTCGAATAAAGTACAACAATAATAAATGTAAGAACTGACCAGCCAACAAGCGAATGACCTTTCAAGTGCATCATACAATTATCTTTCTTTGTGTGGCAATAACGCATTTGTGCTGCAAGCCGCCTTATGAGTGCGCTCTTCTGCGGTCACTTGAATGCACGCAGCGCAGAGCATTGTACGTATGCATGTAGTGTCGCGCCGCTGAAGACACTTGCATATTTTCATAACAAAAATGTGTTGTTGTCATTATTGCATATAACACTGTGGCAGACACACATGCAGCTGCGCCTTCAAAGTGACAGCTACGTACATTGTCTATGATTGTGATAAGTTGACTTGACACTTGCAGTCAGGAACCGGTTGCGCGATTGAAGACGCCACCCGTTGCTCAACGGAGCAAAATTAACTGGATAAACGGCATGTGTGCGGTTTTACTTATGCTTTGCGATCGTGGGCTCAATAATAGTACTCTCTGTAATAACAACAACAACAATTAGTTTTTTGTTGATAATAAATTCTGCACGCAACATTTACAATAAGAGTACGCCTCCAACGGAATGAAATTCCTTAACAGCACTTTTGCGTAAAGTTAATTGTCTCAAAGTTGAAGTGTTGAAGGATCTTCAAGATTTTTGTGTGTGCACGAACTCACCACTTTACGTTACTTGTTTGCCTTTGAATAAAACTGTGTGTACATTTACCGCTTGACCTATTTACGGCGGGTTATTGAAATTGCATGGATATTTCTGACCTATATAATAACTGTTTAAACCACTGATTATTTTTTATATTGCTAGTGAAATATTTTATGGCTTTTAGCTTTACGAATATAAAAAAAAAAAATAGTAAAAAGTTATGAATAGAGCTCAAATCAAAGAATTAGAAAATTGGAATAAAATTTTTGGTAGAAACTTTGATCTTAAGAGATAGATAACAGACAGTTTAAACAATAAATTTCCATCCATCAGAGAAAATATTTTTTGAAGATTATATATTTCAAATACTAACCCCGTATCTGTTCCATACGGTGAGTCCAACTTTCCATGACGAGTTAGAGCATTTCGACTGGTAATTGTCCGCAAAGGCTGTAGACTTTTCGTATCTCATATCATATCATATCACACGTTCTTGGAGGCCAATCGAACACTTCAAAACGTGAAATTATCTGCTCACCGAAGAGATTCTCAATAAATCCATCGATTGATGGAAGTATCGGCGTCTTGTTGAAACCGAATGTCACCGAGATCAATTTCAGACATAAAATAGTCGGTAATCATGACGCGATAACGGTAGTCATTGACGGTTACGACGGCATCATTTTTGCAGAAACATTGACCAATTATTCCACCCGCCCACAAACCACACCAAACCTCTGTTTTTTTATTTTATGAAATGGCAGCTCTTGAAACTCTTCAGGTAGCTCTTTGTCCCTAATGCGGAAATTTTGCTTGTTTGCTTACCCATTTAATCAGAAATAAACCGCTTCGCATCGCTGAACTAAATTTGTATCCAGAAACAAGGGTGTATCTGAAGGTAACGACTAACCACATAACATGAAATTAGTGGTAAAAAAAAAACAAAAATTAAAGATATCGTGGTTGAGGTCACCTAGCTTGAATTGTTCGATTTACCTCACTCTAAGGCTTCGCGAATCGGAAAAGTGTGCAATCCACTGGATCTCTCTGAGGATAAATTATTACTCTGAGTTTTTTACTTTACACTTAGATGAAATTAGATGATTTGCTTACCTTCTTGGGGATGTAGAAAAGTATAAGGCATGACCTTATTTTGTATCTGCTATCAGCAAAATTAGTACACCGTTCAACCTCTCTCAGTAAGTACAATAATCTACACATATCTGTATACGTTTATAGATATACATCTGCGCATTTCCATTGTTTGATGTGACCCTCAAAGGCAGCCGCATCAGCGCGGACTAAGTCATGGCCACTCAACGTTGTGTGGAACGAGAAAATAACAGAGAAACACGACTGTTCTAGCTGCTATTTGCTCCCTTCAATGCGAATCGTAGTAAAAATAAATGTTGTTGTTTTTCGCCAGCGACACTTCCCCGCCTTGGCTGAGCAAATTGCAATTTACAATGCTTAAAATGCTATTATTCCAAACTGTTATTGAGTTAAATTAGAAAATAAGCGACTGAGCTTGGCAGCGATAAGCCGCGCTGTCGTATGCGCTACGTGTGGCGGGCAACCGCACAACCGGCCGGGTGGAAGCGAATCAGCGTTGCAGCATTCAGTAGCTGGCGACAGTTGGCGACTTTCGCGCAATTATTCCAAACAAACAGATACACATACATTGTGTCGCTGTAGAAATGCGATTTTTGTTTCTAAAAATTCACAATTTTCTTTACAATTAAGCGCCGCTGTGTGTGCATACCAGCACTTATGCCAACATGTGCACACACACACTCACGTATGTGTTCAAGCGAGCATATAAATTACACCGTGCAACTGGACGGTTGAATGATCAACTGAATTTTTGACTTGTCGCCGACTATGGCAGAGATTTTTCTTTTGTGACCGACCACCGGCGAGCGAACACAGACAGTCGCTGCTGACCTCTGGTCCGTCTGTTTAATCCGCCGAAAGCTGTTGCAGTGAAGAGTTTGTGCGCGCACGCGTCTTCGCTTCGCTTTATCATAATCCGGACAGTTGACTTGTGCTGTGGGCTGGGAGGGGTCCAACTGAGCCATCGCGTTTGACCATTAAATTTAGTGCCGCGGATGAAAGTGATTTGCGCTGCTCATTTACCAAGTGTAGTGTACTTTACGCGTTTGCTTGCGGTTCGTGCACAGAGCAGACCTCGGTTTGAATTGCATCCACAGTTTATAATTACCTTTGTATGTGTGTGTGTGTGCGTGTGTGTGTGTTGGTTCTGTTATTACTGTGCTGTAATTATTGTTATTTTTGCGTTACTTTGCTCAAGTTCATAAATTAAAGTCAAAGAAAGCAGATTTTGTAATAAGTGTTTGAGAAAAGAGATATTTCTTAAATGCTTCATGGAAATATACATACATATATAATCACATATTGTATATATGTCTGTAGAAATGAATATTGCGTCTTCCTTGGAAAGTTATGTCGTGTTTATAACCGAAGATAAATCTAAAAGAAACAAAGTTTGTTGTATATGAGAAGAACTTATTTGCTATCAAAGTGCTTTTGCGAAGTAATTTTAATAATTTGAACACGTAAAAATACCTTGACTCAATAAACTATAATGTTTTGAACTATGCATTATATAATCACTCAACTAGCAAGAGCAGTTAATAAATATTATATCCTGCTTATTAATTAAAAAATTAAAAGTAGTTTTATGTTCTTGATTTTGAAAGGCAAACACTTTCTGAAATGTGTTGGTTGCGTTTAAAAACTGGTTCGTTTCGCAGAGCGATTAAATTATATCCAGAAACCAGAAAGATTTTGTCTGCTACTATAAGTAACTGCGTCTTGTACTTAATTTTTGCCTTTTAAGAATGCTGTTCGCCTGTTGCCGGGTAAGCCTCCGCTTTGCATTTTTCAAACGCGTGATAAAAAACCATATAATCAAGATAACAAATAATTAGTTTCTTAATTATTGTATTTGCTTACACTGATACTCTCTCTGATTTTTGTACAAATTATACTCGTAGCTATGAATGAATACAAAGGCTTCGGTGCCCAAATTTTTTTATTGAATATTGCTTGTCTGTACTCTAATTTAGAAATCTGTGCGACGGAAGTCTGACAAAAGATGTTGTAAATACTGCTGAAGCTTTCTAAGATTTCCAACATTTTGATTCCAGTGAAAATGTGCACTGAATCATACTTGAAAGACAACACTTCGTTCGTTTGAGGGCCTTACAATATGAAACACTGGAGGAAGCGTCGATAGTGAGCCTGCAGTACCTACTGAAATTCACCTCAAACGCAGGCATCTTGATGGAAAATTGCTTCTCTTGAACTACGTCACAGCACCATAACTGGTCTGTGCGTGGCTCACAAGCCTACCAGATTAAGCAAACCTAACCTAACCCTTCTCGTTCGTTTTCGATTTTCTTTTAAACATTGGCTCGACCAGGGTGTGTGTTTTTGTCTGGCCTTTACATCTACTTCCTAATTAATAGAGACAATAAACTTAAAATCATGGACATTTCGTCTTGTGACTTCTTATTTCGTGCTTCGTCAGAAATCGAGCGAAATTGTTATAAATCATTTCACCATAGCTGCTCGATGTTGGTACCTTTTGGTCGATTCGGTAATCCCGATGAATTCGAGAAATATTGTCAATAGTTGTCAAAGGTACCTCCAGTAAGGTCTCATTTTGCTGGTACATTAGATAAGTTAAGTAAGTGAGGATTGCACCGCGACCAAGGGTCCATTGTGCCCTCTCCTAACTCGCAACGTCTCAACTAGCCCCATCAAATTGATAAGTTCCAATATACTGCTAGATGCTATTGATGCGATGTGATCCCTATTTGGAAACATGGATCCAAGGGTCTGCTGCAGACGGGTAAGCTCATCAGCCTGTTCATTCCCGGCTGTACATTTGGGACCTGGTACCCAAATAAGGTGCAGTTGGTTACGTTCTGATAGACTGTTCAGTCGTTCTATACACTCCTGCACCAATAGCCATTTTATCTCTTATGCAGAAATTGATTTCAGTGTCGCTTGGCTATCGCTTAGTATAGATGTACGCTTATAGCAAATGGCACCATGAGTGTAAAATTAGGTAGCAAGATGCATTCCATTTAATCAATTCACTTGATTGATAAAGATTTAAAATTGTCCAATGATTTTTCACTGAATCAAACATCGTTTATCTGCTAGAAAACTATACAAGTATTCCTGTACCAAGCACTTCAAAACATTCCTGCGGTTATTGGAATAAATATAATTCCATCATTCACTGTCGATATTTTTGTATTGATATTACTTTGCAAATAAATCAGGCCTATCCTGAATATATACAGTCAGCGTATATACTGAATTAGAACTCACTTGGTTTTAGCAACGGCCTTAAAGATAACTGCTACTTACTGCATATCTTATAAGCATCACAGCGCTGACCTATTCAAGTGATATAAGAGAGCAGTGATTTGCAAGATAAAATATTATCTCAAATGCTGCTTATCCGCTAGTCTGCGCTGAAATAGACAGCAGTCACGTAAGTGTAAAAGCGCATATTATCAGCTTAAAGCGTTTGATTAGATCATGAGATAGTTAGTTTGCAAATACAAATGAAAATGTAGATATACATAAGCGTACTATCAGCATAATAGGTGAGCTAAACTGAGGTAATCGTAAGCACATGAGTTCGCTATCTGCGCTAAGCATGCCTCCGACAATACCAACACCGACACCAACAGCGACACCGACAAAACGTTTTCATGTCATACGGATTATGTAATAAAATATATAAATATATAATATATACATTTAAATTCGCTATCATAGACAGAATGCAGTACAGACCCCTAGTCTTCGCTGAACGGAAGTAATTTTTTACTATTATCGTATTATCTATTGTGGCATACACTCTTGAATATATAGGGCGTAAGTACTTTGCGGTTTTAGGGTGTCATCTACGCAAGCTCTAAATTCTATAAATTCGCACATAAATTTGCATTTGTTTGCATGTAAGTGGAAGCTGCTGCATCGAGGCGGAATCGCAATTATGATTTGTTTATGTTTTATGGGTTAATTTATGGTAAGTTGACCTTATTCTGATTGCTTTAGCTCACTTACGTTTTTGTGCCGTGAGCGTTAATAGTTGCGAGGAATTTATACAGCTGAGGACATGATTTAGTGAATATACAGAGCGAGGCAGATTATTTAATAGTGAATATGAGCAGATAAGTCTAATTCCTAATTTATTTTAAGCCTTATCTAAAATTGAACACAACAAACTTTTTTCGCTTCAGCAGTTTATCATAAAATCTTTATAATTCAGAATGAATCATCATCTTTTAATTTCAGTTATATAAACTAAACAGATAAAACCACTTATTCAAAATGGGAAATGCAGGATACACATGCATTCGAAGGACGTTCTGTTGGCTCAATATAATATTATGGGTAAGTTGACTGAAAAAATTACGAAATTATCACAGTTTAGAATGGCCATATTTTATTGTAATTATGTGTGATCTCTAAACGTTCCGGCTCTTTGATTTTTGTGTTTCTGTTAAGGCTCTCTGGAGCATAAGATATCTGTGTGAGTGCGACGTATCACACGATTGAGAAATACGGTCTTTTCGCTGCCGCAATAGATTTTTGGATTGGCTAATTCGCAGTGAAGCGACATTTTTGTAACCTTGTTGTAGTCTTCCTAAGAGCATGGCCTATACCGCGCCATTTTCTACTCTTTGCTTGCTTGACTTTGATATCTAGATATATACATTTTCGCTATTGCATTAGATTAACTTTTAATAAGGCTTCTCTTCTAAGTTGTCTTCATTTTTCGAAAAATATTTAAGCAAAGCAATTTACTTAAATATGATTCAGATCGGTAATATTCAAAACAACAAGAGAGGGCATATGTTAGGCCACTTAAGTAAAAATTAGTCTATTCGTCCTCTAAGGTCGAATTTGAACTGACTGTAATCTTACATCGAAAAAATCTCTAATACAAACGAATAGCGAACTTCACTCGAGATACAATAAAGACTTAGTATAAAATGATAAGTAGAAATGTTCTATGGAGTTTTGGCATATATCTAAAAAGAAATTCCCTAAGAAGCGTAGGTTCTTGTAAAATGCACAAATTAAATTCGCATGAAATGGATTATAATGTTCGTCAGTCAATCTTTTTTGACACCATCGATTACCGTTTGCAAAATATAGCAAAACTTTTTAATTGAAATTACGCATGTAAGCCCATTCGTCGAAAATTTTTTTCTAGGTTAGTATGGCTGTCACATCAAAATATTCGTGTTTTGTATACGCTTGTCTTTCTGAAGTATATTAGGAGAGGCCTTTGGCGATAATTGTTTGTCATTAGCAAGTGTTTTTATTCTTAAAAATTATTCAAAGAGGGCCGAGGACGCTTTTCGATGAACCACATCCAGGACGGCCATCAACATCAACTCATAATCAAACGTAATAAAAAAATTGGTGCTTGAAATCGACGACTAACAGCCAAAGATCTTACTGGCATCAGTGGAATATGAGAAGAAACCATTGAAAATTGTGAAAAACCATTTGAAAATTCTTTTGGGCTTAAGAAATGGGAAGGCAAGATTGGTTCCAAAATCACAATCTTTTTCTTCCTATACTTTCTGACTAAAACGATGTCATGGAACATATTATTACTGATCTTGAGTCTAGGATCTATGCTTACGACCCGGAAACAGACCAAACAATCAGGCCGAATACAGCAGCAAAAGTAAACCGAAACTGAAAAAATCAACGCTTTGCTGACAGTTTTCTTCGATTAAAAAGGTGTGCTGTACTCCGAATTCCTTCCGAGCGACCAAACTGTCAATAAGGAATACTATTCGTCGTTTACGCGTAGCTATTCGTAAAAAAAGCTTGGAATTAGGGGCTGAAAACTCTTGGGTTTTCCACTATGGATAATGGACCGCCGCATTCTGCATTGATTCTTTGTGACTTTTTTGCCAAATTTATAAAATATAAATTTACCCCCATGTGACTTTTGGCTCAAACGACCGCTTCGACCGTTTTGATTCAACTGAAGCTATTACACATAAAGCGCTATGGGAATTGAAGGCTATTGCGGAAATTGATTCTAACAACAGTTTCGAGGATTGGAAAAGGAGGATTACTTTGAGAGAGAATTTTGAAATTGTGAACATGTGTGTTGTGTCTTATTATTTTTGGCTCATAACAGTATATTATGCTATTAAGCGAATTATGCCGAGTTGTCGGTCCATGGCCAAATAAAAATCCGAGTCTGCTCCGGTATCCGATTGTGGTTGAAACCATGGTAAGCAAAATTTGTAGGTTTCTTTTAAGTCATATGGTTGCCAGGTGGCTGTGATTACGCTCATTCTACCATCTATAACCGATAACCCAAATTTTTGGAGAGTTCTAGGCAAACAGAAACTATGTGTCTCTTAGATAATAAATAATTTAATAATAATTGTGGGAAATATCTCAACATTTTTGGATTTTGTGAGATGCTGGCCACAGCAACTGCAAACTATAGTCAATACTAACACTGAAAGCCAGAAAAGCAAATCATGTATCCAATGCCAACTTAAAAATTCCCATCTATTGAATTATAATTTTTCTGAGTGATGGGAATTGTGCTGATGCTCAACAACAGCGAATTAAATGCAGATTCACTTGATTTCAGATTGTTGGCTGAGGTGCTATTCACCTTTTGTGCGTGTGTGTGATTTGAGCAGTTGCTGTTCGTCTGCAGCGGAAATAGATGTGTTTTCCGAATTTCAAGCTGTGTATAACACGAATCGTGGCAATAACAACAATAGTGCACCAAATAAGTTAACGAAGCAGAGCATATATGATAAGGTGTTAAGTATGTAGGAATATGTTATGTGTTATGTTATACAATAGTCGCAGAGCCGACATCAACATCATCGCTGTGGCATTGTAAAAACTTCGTAGACTGCGCTTTGTGATGCCTGTTGCTGTGAACAATAACTATTTCGGTCTGAGATAGTTGCATTGTTGCAATGACCGCCGTAGACGCGTCACCGCTAATGAGCCCCCTACATGCAAAACTGCACTCCAAACGTCTACTTTATTTATTTTTATAACGAATTTATTATTTCATTTAATTATTATTCACACTCATAGAGCTTGAACTGCCGAATTTAGCAGCAAAACGTCATCATATCGGGCAGACGTGCCGCCACATTGACCTAAACGACTTAAAATTGGGCAAAGCTACTTTGCATTTCAATTGCCTTTCCGCACTAATAAATTAAAATGTATTTTTTTAAGTAAAAATTATTTTCTCGCTTCATTCACCTATTGTCTCTGCTTCCTTATCGTTTCAGCTTTGCAGTTGTGCTTTCTTGGGTGTCGGCGTGTGGCTGCGTCTGTCGTACGAGGGCTACGCCACGCTGCTGCCCGACCACCAGGTCTTGAGCGCAGACTCGATTTTCTTAGCGATTGGTGTGATCGGCTTTGTTGTATCATTCTTCGGCTGTTGCGGTGCTTGGGTGCAATCGCGTTGTCTCTTGGTGTTGGTGAGTTCGCGGAAGCGGAAGTGTCTGATATGGTTTCGTTTCAATTAATGAATCTTTTACGCTCTTTTCACAGTACTTCCTGCTGATTGTCATGCTTTTCTTGAGTGAATTCCTAATCGGTGCGATTGCTTTCCTGTTCCGCGGCGGTTTGGGACGCACCTTTGCGAACGAGCTGCGTTTCGGTATCGAACGTCATTATAATGCATCGGATCGTGGCAGTTTGATTGCGCCATCTGTCGCCGCCATCTGGGATAGTTTGCAACAATCTGTGAGTGTTGCGAATATTATTTTTGTTCAATTTGGATAATCACCCTTTGCTACTCCAACAGTTTGAGTGTTGTGGTGTGTCCTCTTATGAAGATTGGTACGATATTCAGTCGTGGAGCGGCAAACGGTGGGTGCCTGAATCGTGCTGCCGGCCATCGGAGGCGCGTAGCATATTGACGGAGGGATCTGGAGATAGTTTTCTGCGAGTTGATTGTGGAAAGTAAGTACACCGTGTTGAAAAATACTAAAAACTGTCTTTTCAAAAACTCTTGATCGAAATTGTAGCGAGTAGCGAATTTGTAAAGTTATTTTTAGCTATGATAGATGGTAGTAAAAAAAGTTTTTTCGTACTTCGAATCAAACTTCAACATATTTTTTTTTTGTATTTATAATGAACTCAACCAAATATGTACCATTTTGGTTGACCAGCTTCTGCCATTTTTTCTCTTGAGAAAAACTGTGACAGGCCTAGTGTTGTCCTGATGGAAAACGAAGCCCTTTTTGTTAATCAGTTCTGGCCGATTTCTTGGATTGCTTGCTTCAATCTCTCAGTTGTTGAGAGCAAAATGTAGAATCAATCGTTCAACCTCTTAGTGGATGGTTCTTTCCAGTCCCACCAAACACTCAGCAGAACCTTTCGGGGCATCAATACTGCTTTCACGATCATTTTTTGAGCTTCACCACGATTGGACCATGAGAGTTGGACTTCATTTCGCTTCAGCAAAGAATCGCAGATGTTGTTTCATTAAATTTTTCATGCCGTACCCAAACATCGAGCGTCTTTTTGTAGCCAGCCTGTTTTAAATGGTTCAAAACCGTTTATTGATGAATGTTAAGATCCTTAGCGATGTCATGGCTGCTTATGTGACGTCACTGGTCAATCTTTTTCATAATTTCAGTGACTTTTTCAAGGATAGGTCGATCAGAGCGAGGTGCATCTTTCACATCGAAACTTCCAGAACGAAAGCGAGCGAACCATTGTTGTGCCACATGAACTGATTTCATTGGTAGCTTGCCGTGCATACTTCGCCAATATAAATTATCTGATGCATCCTTATAATATAATTAATTGTGTCTTAAATTTCTCAATATTACTCTGCATTTAGATCCGAAAATCCCGCGCTTTGGTGGAGTAAAGGCTGCGCCCACTCGTTGCAAGCCTGGTTCCAGGGGCAGCTGAATATCGTCGGCGCTGTTGGTTTGGGCATTGCATTCGTACAACTCTTCGGCTTAATTACGTCGATGCTGCTATTCTGCACCGTTAAACATAAACGTGAAACTGAGACATACAAATCCTATTCGCCATCGATTGATCCGCAGACACGAACGAGTAGCTGGGAGGACTGAAGCCGACTTTAGCAGCGTGCTAAGAGCAACGATAGTATTCTTATCATATCTTATTGATTAAAGACATTTAATTAAGATATTTATATAACACGATTTGATGCAATGAATAACGAATAGCATAAGTTACTAAAATGCTTGATAAATGTATTTAGTCATACAATTTTTGCTAACTTGTATGCAAATTGTGCCAAAAATATTTGTTAAGTGTCTTACCCGGTTCGGCGTAGGCAATTGTAGGTTATTTATCATAAGATGCTCTTTAATGTTCGAGAGCAATACTCAAGCTATCTGGAAAAAGAAATGAACGAGCGACGAAATTCATTAAATCAACTGCATAAACTGCCAGTTAAGATACGTACTAGATATTTGCAATAAAAGACGAGTATTATTAGAAATCTATGTTTAAACTCTTTATAGCGTTAATCTAGTGGGTTTCAAAAGTAAATTGAATTACTATATTTATAAGTGTACAATCGGACTTTAGAATATTTCAATATTAAGGCATATGCAAAGCTTCAATTTGTCACAGTTGATATTCGCTGTCTTCGATTTGCTACAACTTGTATAGTGGCGAATCGAACAAGCAACTGTTATAATCAAATAGGATTATAAGAGAAATAAGTTATATCAGTTTAATTAGTTATCCGTATTCCATCTTTGTTGTGCTTTTCACTTTTAAATGTTTGAGAGAGTATGATCATAGGCAAGTTGTTTAGAGATTTTTTTAAATTTTATTTTCAAAAATACTATATTATATTTAGAATCCTTTGAAGCAATGCAAAAAAGTTACATAAGAACATTTTATTAAATAATCCAAAAGTCTAAACTTTAGCCAAATATTTGCAGTTACTAATTACTACATTAATTTGATAAATAGATAGTATATTCATTTAAGACTATTCCTCATACATTTACGCACAGCTCAAAAAAAAATTTACTGCATTTATTAAAAAAGTGAATATGTCATATTATTTTACAATTAAATAAAATTTTAGAATAATTATTAACTTGATAATAGTAAATCATTCCTATTTGATTTGGCTTCTCAATTTTTGTTTCTAAAATTATACTTTGATTACTCAAAGAAATTATGAATTAAAATTGCTTAATTGCTTGTCTTATAGGATTATTCCACCTAAACCAAAAAAAAAAAAAAACTACAATTTTATGTTAAAATAAATAATAAATTATTTATTGAGAATTAAAAATACAATAAAAATAACATAAACAATCAACAACTACTTCTAACTTAAAGAAAACTGAACGTTACTATAAAAACGGTATTATTTTCATAATCCAACAATTTTGCCACCAATAACATCCAGCTGTGCCGTTATGCCCTTCGAAATAGAACGAGCGATATCCTTCGGTTTCTACAAAGATACAAATGTGTGAGTAATGTCAGCAATTGGATTTTTGCTTATTTTGGTGAGTATTAAGAATATACAACTTCTCAGTAGATTTCTAATCGATGATAAATAATTGTTCGAAGCGGAGTGGACTGTGTCGTAGAGCACTTTCTAAATAAGCTTGGTTGCTTATTTTATGAAGTTAAATATAGGCAAAATCGAATCACATTCACCCACAGTTCCTGTTGAACGCGATTTTGAGCCTCATTAGCGTTTCTTAGCTTACAGAAGATAATTAGAGCATCCAAAAGAAGAATCATCGAAATTATAATACCCTTCACAGCTGCAGTTTTTATGATATAAAAGGGTATAAGATCCCTTTTTTGCTCGAAAAGTTTGATGGCTACTAGATGGTGTAGTGAATCGATTTTAACCAATTGCTTGAAGAGTAAAGGGTTGCTTTGGGCAACAATTTATGCCTTATTTGCTAACCTTTACAAATAAAAAAGTTTTAAAAGATTATTATAGGGAGCCGATATCGACGGTTCCAACAAATCCGAAGCTTCTTTTGGAGAAAAGGATGTATACAAATATTCAGAAGGATATCTCCGATATCTCTAACTGAGGGATTAGTTCTCGTATACATGGACAGGCGGAGAAAAACACGTCTAAATCGGCTATACATACTTATATTTAGTGAGATCGCAGACGTTTCCTTCTGGGTATTGGCAACTTCGCTGCAAATTTTAGGGGTGACATGGGTTTATAGGTTTCAAAAAATTGATTTTTTGTTGTTTCCAATATTGATGCGAGTAATAGTTTCGGAGATACAGCCTTGAGAACTTGTGCGCTCGAGGCTAGCTAAGCTAAGTGCGCCGTCTCTAAACCGCTTATTTTTCCAAATTTTCAGAATTACTTTGTTAAATATTTCAGTTTAATATAAAAAAAAATTGTTGAAAAAAGGCTATTATAAATAAATTCAAATAAAACTAAACATATCTTCCTAAACATTTGCAAAACGAATACGGACCGAATTAACTGAATTCTATGTTTGAATCCTACTGAGCACAAAATCTTCGGTATTAACTCCACATATTATATATTAAAATATATAAAATACGGAGTATTTTTCTCCTTATGATATGTAAAGTCGTTACTGTCATTATTTTGGACCAATTTAACTGCACTTTATTGCACTGAACTTTTACCGATATAAGCTCAGATGATAAAAGCTTTTACTGCACTTATCAATTTACTCAATAAATGCTCTCATACATACATATATGTATGAATACTTCAATGGGTATTTTCGCATTCGTAAAGCGAATATATGGATGTATATGTGCATAGGTATATAAAATTATATTTTTTTATATTTCAAAATTGTCAAAATAAAAGCTTCACTTACCTGTATTAAAGCGTTGAGGAGATTCGAAAAAGCCTCGTAACCGTTCACAATTGAGCGCGCTATGCCATCAAACATATCACCGTTATTGCCATATTTCTCATGCTCACTAATGGTGTCCACAATAGGTTCCAGCTGCAGAAACCAAAAAAAAAAAAAAACAAAAAAAAAAAACAAAGGTTGCAAGTACATGTAATGTTACGTATGTACATATGTATGTTCCCAAGCAGCAATTTAGCATTGACTTTAATAATTGATTTCTATGTGTCGTTGAACTCATACTCACATTGGTCAAATCGGCCACCTTCTTCTGCGTCTTGTCATATGTGCTAAGCACCTTGGACGGTATGCCTTCTTGTTCCAGATTTACTGACTCGGCAGTCTTTTCTTGCGACGGCAACAAAGAGATCTGTCACGATACAATGTGGCATTATTAGAAAAGTCGAAAGCTCGTAAGCGCATCAAGTTACCCTAAATCCACCCGAGCTGCTGCTACCACCTTCCTCGGCTTGCGAATGCACCGTGTACTCCGCCAGCTGCGCTTCGTCGACACGAAAGTCTGGACTACTGTCGCCAGCCGTCGCCGTGTCTTCTGCGATGGGCGTGTTTTGAACGGTGCCACCATTGACCTCAAGCAAAAGCTTGGTATTGTCCACTGCAGATTGCGCAAGCTCTGCATCATTGCTGTTGGTAATCGGATGCGCTTGTGTGTGGAGCACAAAGAGCAATACGAAAATCTTAAACTGTGTCACAATAGGCAACATGTTAAGCCCTTCAAAATCAATTTCTCGTATTTAACTGAATTAAATTTAAGAAGTGAAGTATTTACTCTCTGCGATAACTGTTGCGATGTTACAGCGCATGCGCATGCGCACGTTCAAGCACGAAAATTCGACTGAGTCGTTGAAGGCAACGCTTTTATTGAATTGGCCCGCGACTTGGACATTGCCACACACAGTAAATATATTTCGGTAAATACATTGATACTCACATATGCATGTGTGTATGTTGGGGACTTGGTTTTGCAGTTTCGAAAATGTAATGCTTTTTTGCCTTCTTTGTTGTTATTACTAGGCTATTGTAAACTTGGCTTTCAGCTGCTCGCTAAACGCGATCGCATTACTTTACTACTTTACCCAAACAAACACACACATATGTACATATGTATGCATGAAGTCGCTTGCGCGTGCGCTGTGTACCCACTGACCAAGCTTCGAAAAGTTTCGCATCCGTAACAAGCTGGAGCTTCAGGTTGATGAAAGTAGTTGGAAATGAGGAAGGAAATGCAATGATTTGCTGTCGGCGGACAATTTTGTTGGAAGTTTTAAGTGAAATTTTAATCGCACAAATATTGCTCCAGTGGCCCACTGGACTGGTGACTGTCATTATCAAGCAGTTTGACCAAAAGTGGTCAGTCATGAGCATTTGCTGTCTGACCAAGCAGGCCATTCATGCGTCATTGCTGTCATTACCATCGTGATTACTTTACCGAATGTGTGGATTTTTACAAACATATGTTGGAGCTTAAATATATAAACATCTACGTTAGTGATGAAATGCGGAATTCACTCAAGATTTCTATTGTCAACAAGTTGCTTATGCTTCAAACTATAGCTGCGCTCTCATAAGCATCTTCTCTCTCTCTGCATTTTACCTTTAACTTCTATATAAATACGTTTCTGCAGTCTTTTATATCTGCTTAATATATTATGTAATATAAGTGCATCGAAATATATGCATATATGTAAATAAACGCTCACACACAGCTTTATTTTACTATGGAGTTTGCTGCTGTTGTTGTCACTGCTTATGGTCATGCAAATTGCGATTGTGTAATCAGCTGGTTTGCCTCGGCGGCATCGTAAGCGAGGGAGCAGAGCGCGAAGCTTGAAGATCATGGCGCTCATGATCACTTACTTCATGATGATCGTGATAATTGTATACGTCATGTTCATAATGATGATCGTTTTGAATTTCCTCATGCTGATGAGTGTGTTTGTTTCGAGTATCTTGAGGCATTCATTCATTAGTTGAGCACTTTTAAAGGTATAATGAAGTGGCTGACATTTAATTGTTTTTTGTAATGTCAGGCTAGTGATGTAATAACATTTGAAACAACAACTACGAAGGTTTTAGTTTTGTTTTTATATTTTCACTGAATGCAAATTTTATTTTAATGATGTTTATTATTCAGGTGCAATTCTTTAAATATTTCTATTCCTGTCTTTTTGTCAAATAATCCATATTTCTTAACAGGCTTAGGCATCTAGGCATGCAAAGTGATGGCTAGGTGCCTATGTATTGCACTTTCAGACTTTATCTGTTAGTTTACGTTCGCTAATGAGTGTGTGAGCTTAAAAGAGCACCTTTGTGAAGAAAGCTTATTTAGGCAAGCTTTATCAATGAATGCTCTCTAATTACTCTATATACAGTAAACACACTTTTAGCGGACAGCATCGGCATGATAGAAACACTACCATTTTGTAATACATGTCACACGTGTCGCGGTGGTGATAAATCCCAACCAAAGGTTGGTGGATCCACAGG